AGAGAATAATGAAATAAATTGTGACACTCCCATATAATGGGAGACTGTAGATTTGGCAAAGGCAGTTATATTTTTATTTTTACTTGTTTATTTTTAATGCCCTTGACTGGAATCAAATCTCAGACCTTTCAGTTTGCAGGCCGGTGCTCTATCCACTGAGCCAAACAAGTCAGGGTGCAGGTATATTTTTATTTTTATTTATTATTATTATTTTAATGTATTTTTATTGATTTTTTATAGAGAGGAAGGGTGAGAGATAGAGAGTCAGAAACATCAATGAGAGAGGTACATTGATAAGCTGCCTCCTGCACACCCCCCACTGGGGATGTGCCTGCAACCAAGGTACATGCCTTTGACCGGAATCAAACCCGGGACCTTTCAGTCCGCAGGCTGATGTTCTATCCACTGAGCCAAACCAGTTTTGGCCAGATATATTTTTAAATGAAAATAGCAAGGTGCTCAACAGTGTGGAATGTGTACTATCATTTGTGTCAAACACACACACACACACACTCACTCACACACTGCTTGTATACACCCAAATTATCTCTGAAAAGATGCATTAAAACTGTTTTTATTTTTATTTTTTAAAATATATATATTTATTTTATTTTATTATTTTTAAAATATATCTTATTGATTTTTTTACAGAGAGGAAGGGAGAGGAATAGAGGGCTAGAAACATTGACCAGCTGCCTTCCGCACACTCCCTACTGGGGATGTGCCTGCAACCAATGTACATGCCCTTGACCAGAATCGAACCCGGGACCTTTCAGTCCGTAGGCTGACGCTCTATCCACTGAGCCAAACCGGTTGTGGCTAAATATATTTTTTAAATAGTAGTAATATCTTTATTTATTTATCTATTTTTAATATTTTACTGATTTTTTTACAAAGAGGAAGGGAGAGGGATAGAGGGTTAAAAACATCAATCAGCTGCCTCCTGCACACCCCCTACTGGGGATGTGCCTGCAACCAAGGTACATGCCCTTGATTGGAATTGAACCTGGGACCCTTCAGTCTGCAGGCCGACGCTCTATCCACTGAGCCAAACCGGTGAGGGCCTGTTTTTCTTTTTAACTATGCACATGCATTACCTTTTATTTTTATTTTCAAAGAGGCACCAGCTGAGTAATGGGGAGCGGGGGCGGGGGAGTAAGAGGGGAAGCGAGGAAATTCCTGGACATATCTGCTCAGTCACCTCTTCAGTGAACCCAGTGGCTGCACGATCCCAGCATTGGAGGTGACAAAGCGACAGTCCAGAAATGTCACCCACGCTGTGACTCAATCTTCATCACCGCTGGAGGCCTCGCCCTATGTTGGCTGCCATACTGCCTGTGTCCAGTAGGGGGCAGCACAGACTCACCAAAGCATTGGTTCCAACCGTGAAGCCTCCCTTCTAGGATCTCCTCCTCTGTGGACCAGGATTGGAAAGATGGTGTTGCCAAGCCAACCGCGTTTTATTAGGTAATAATTGATTGAATTCTTCCCCCTTATTTTTTGGTTCCTCTCCGTTCTGATCAGCACAAGAGAGAGTCGTCGTAAGCTTGAGGGGCCACTTATTTTCCACACAAGAGGTTCTGCATCGCGCAGCCTGCTCTCCGCCGCACCGGGAGGGAGGGGTGGATGGCAATGGGGTGAGGGCACAGGCTGGCAACGGCTGCCTTTGAGGCTCCCCACCCCGCTGGGGTTTTCAGCTGCGGGCACAACTTCTGTCCTGGTCCTGCTTGCTCAGAGAAGCAGTTCTGGGCAAGAGGAAGGAAGTGTGAACACCTGGTGGCGGCCACTGTTCCGTCTGTGTTTGTGTCCCTTGCTAGGCTACCAGCAGCCGGAGAACAGGGACTCCCCTCCTCTGCCGCAGGGCCTCCGGGAGTGAGCAGAGGGCTGGTGCTCAGAGAAAGCTTGTTGTGGGCAGAGATAGTTCATTGAGGACATCTGGGACTAAGTTCTTCTTCTTCTTTTTTTAAAAATATATTTTATTGATTTCTTACAGAGAGGAAGAGAGAGGGATAGAGGCTAGAAACATCGATGGGAGAAAAACATCCACCAGCTGCCTCTTGCACACCCCTTACTGGGGATGTGCCCACAACCAAGGTACATGCCCTTGGCCGGAATCGAACCTGGGACCTTTCAGGCCGACACTCTATCCCACATGTGTCAAACACAAGGCCCGCGGGCCAAATCCGTCCCGCCAGGCCTTGCAATGTGGCCCGCACTGCGCTGTCATCACTGCACTCTGCTGTGTTTCCATCACAATGACAGTTTATGACTGTTCAGTAAACCATTCAGCCCGCAATTTAGGCTGGATTTTAGATTTTGGCCCCTTCTCTGATTGAGTTTGACACCCCTACTCTATCCACTGAGCCAAACCGGTATCGGCCGGGACTAAGTTCTTTAAGAAGAAATAAAAAAAGGGGGAGAAGAAAAAAGAAAGAGGTTTGGCTCAATGGATAGAGCGTCGGCTTGGGGACTGAAGGGTTCCGGGTTCGATTCCGGTCAAGGGCATGTACCTTGGTTGTGGGCATATCCCCAGTAGGGGGTGTGCAAGAGGCAGCTGATCGATGACACTCTCTCATTGATGTTTCTAACTCTCTCTCTCCCTTCTTCTCTGTACAAAAATCAATAAAATATGTTTAAAAAAAAAAAAAAAGAAAGAGGTCTGAGCTCATCTCAAGGGCAAGAATCCACGGGCAAGATTCTGGTCTGTTCTGGGCTGCAGGTGAGGGCAGGGGGCTCAGAATGGATCACCTTCTTAGCCGCCCAAGAAGACCCTGCTGTCTTCCCTGCTGGGCCCCTGGCTGGGACAGGGAATAAGGGATACGTCTCCCACCCAGCTGAGGACTGGAGGTGCTGGTGACCTTGGCAGAGGAAAGGTTTACATCAGGAAAGCCTGGGAGAAGGGGCTGGCTCATTCCAGGGCCCTCCTTAAGATCAGAGAGCTAATTTCTCAGCTCCTGTTTCAACTCCCCTCAGGCCCCTAACCGGTTTGGCTCTGCGGATAGAGCGTCTGCCTGCGGATTGAAAAGTCCCCAGTTTGATTCCGGTCAAGGGCATGTACCTTGGTTGCAGGTACATCCCCACTAGGAGGTGTGCAGGAGGCAGCTGGTCGATGATTCTCTCTCATTGATGTTTCTAATTCTTCATCCATCTCCCTTTCTCTCTGTAAAAAAATCAATAAAATATAAAAAAATAAATTCTTAAAAATAAAAAAAATTCTTGTCAGGTTTTGTTTGTTTTTTAATTAATTAATTAATTTTTATTTTTTAAAAATATATATTTTATTGATTTTTTACAGAGAAAGGGAGAAAGATAGAGAGTTAGAAACATCAATGATGAGAGAAACATCAACCAGCCGCCTCCTGCACAACCCGCACCGGGGATGTGCCTGCAACCAACGTACATGCCCTTGACCGGAATCGAACCCAGGACCTTTCAGTCCGCAGACCGACGCTCTATCACTGAGCCAAACCGGTTTCGGCAGCGATGAATTAATGTTTTAAAATGTATTTTATTGATTTTTTTTTACAGAGAGGAAGAGAGAGGTATAGAGAGTTAGAAACATCAATCAGCTGCCTCCTACACACTCCTCACTGGGGATGTGCCCGAAACCAAGGTACATGCCCTTGACCAGGAATCAAACCTGGGACCTTTCAGTCCGCAGGCTGACGCTCTATCCACTGAGCCAAACCAGCCTCAGCTGTTTTTGTAATTTAAAAGGGAGGGGAGAAGGAAGAGGAAACGATGGCCTGGCCTGGAGAAAATCCAGGGCTCATGAGTGGATGCTCCTTCCTCACTACCCTCAGTGCAAGAAGGGACCTCTTGGGGATCCCCACACACCAGATGGGGAGCAGCAGAAAGACAAGCTTCAAATCCAGGCTGGAGATTGTGCCCAGACCTGGGGTTCTCCGCTCTCAATCCTCTCTCATCCTCTGGTCCATCCTGGGTGAGACAGCAGCTCCGAGGCAGTGCAGGCTTTGAGGGTAAACAGAGAGGAGGCCTGTGTCTGCTTTCTATCAGCGCGTGCCCTTGGGCAACTCAGCCTCTCTGAGCCTCAGTTTCCCCATCTCCAACAGAAGGATGCCCGTATCTATGCTACCTTCCCCGGTCACCGTCGGGATGCGTGAAAGGAGACCCCTGAAGTGTTCCCGTCATTGCCAGACCCCAGGGGATTGTCATTCTCCAAGAGGAGAAGCTGCCTTAGGTCCCCAGTGACAGCGTCAAGGAGACTCATTCCCCCCCGCAGCGCCTGCTCCTTTCCCAGCCTGGATGCAGGCTCCAGTCCTGCATTCCCAGCCCCCACGCTCCTCCTGGAGACTAGGGGCCTCGGTGGCCCCCCGGTTCTGGAATCCTGCCCTTTCCCCTGGGCGTCCGCCTTCTAAGACCCCCGGGGACGCCGGCCAGGCGCAGGGAGTCGGTCCAGGGAGGGCCAGGTCGCCGGCAGGGGTCTCCGTTGGACCGGGTCTGCGCGCCACCCCCATCCCCGCCCTTCTTTGGGGTTCTCATTTGCAGATGGTTCCCCCTGGTCCTCCGCTCTTCCCTGGGCTCCACAGAGGAGAGAAACCAAGGGTGGGGGGCCCGGAAGGGGGTTCCCACCTTCTCGGCCGGGAACCGGAGAGGGGGACGCACGCAGCCCTTGCGCCCCAACGCTGCCCCGTTATGGGTCTCCGAGCCGCGTTCGCCGTGGCTGACAGTCATCGGCGGAGGTTTGCCCCCTCCGGCCCCCGGCAGCGACCCCGTTCTTCCCCCGGACCCCGCCGATGACCCCCGGGGGCTCGGAGAGAGGCAGCCTGCGGTTCTAGGACCCGGAGGCGCCGCCGTGCGCGCCCCCGCCTCCGCCCGGCCTCGGTGTCCTCCCGCTCCGGCAGGTGGAGCGGCCCGGCCGCCCCCTCCGCGGCAGGTGACCCGGGCCGGCAGCCCCCTCCCCGCCGCGCCATGGCAGCCTCGGACCCGGGGCCGGCCCCGCGCGCCCGCCCGCCCCCTCCCCGCAGCCCGCCCCCCGGGGCTGGGCGCCCGGCGGCGGCGGAGCGCGGTCTGCGCGCGCGGGGAGCGAGAGCAGAAGTTAGAGACGCGCCGCGGGGGGAGCCCGCGCCGCAGCTTCCTGCCCCCGGCCCAGCCCTCCGGCCCCCGCGGCTGCAGCCCGACTTCCTCCCCCCGCCCGCCGCCTGCGCCTCGGACCCGGCCGCCGCGATGGCACGCCGCGCCCGGGCCCCCGCGCGCCGCTGAGCCGAGCCCCGCGCCGCCGCCGAGCCCCCCGCGCGCCGCCGGCTGCCGCTCCCCTCGGCCCCGGGCCGGGAGCCGCGTCCCCCGCCGCCCTCCACCCCCCCGGAAAGCTGGATCTCCGAGGCTGGAGGCGCCTGGCCGGCTGGGTGGGGACCACCATGGGCAACGCGGCCGGCAGCGCGGAGCAGCCCGCGGGCCCGGCCGCCCCGGCCCCCAAGCAGCCCGCGGCGCCCAAGCAGCCGATGCCCGCGGAGGGGGAGCTGGAGGAGCGGTTCAACCGCGTCCTGGTGAGTGTGACCTGCCGCGCTCCGGGCAGGGCGGGGGGTGGGGAGGGGGTGGGAAGGGGGGCGGCAGGGGCTGGCATGCGTCCCCGCTCCCGGGGGCTCAGGTCCCGCTTGGAGATCCCCAGCCCGGCGGCTGCCCTCCACCGGGTGGGGGGACGGGGCAGCGGCTCCTTCCAGTGACTTAGCACTCTCCCCCCCAAAACTTTCTCCCTCCATCACCAGGCTCCCTCCCCAGACACCCCATCCCCCAGTGCTCTTGGATCTAAAGGTTGAAGCAAAAAAAAAAAAAAAAAAAAAAAAGTCCCGTGAGCAAGTTGGGAGTGGAGCCCGGAAAGGGGTTCGCGGGACACCCCCCTTCGCCGCGGCTCACAGGCCCAGACACCGGGCACGGGTCTGGAGCATCTGCCTGTGTCTCAGGGTCAAAGAGGGGAGGGTGACATTTAACCTCCTGGAGCCGGAGACCCAGCTGAGAGGTTTGGTCCCCGGTCTGTGGGTGCCCCGGCTGCTGGCAGCTGGCGGTCAGGTGGTGCAGAGGGAATGTCTGTGCTCCTCACCCCATGTGTCCGGGAGAGGTTGCTGGGTCCTTGTCTCGGGCACCCCTTCCCGCCCACTGCAGGGGTTGAGGCTGGGAAGGATGGCGGCAGGGAGAGGTGCCCGCTCGGCCTTGGTGTGGAGCAGAAGTCTGGGGGCACCCACGCTGCCGTGGCCACCTGCCCCCCCGGGGACTGGGGATGTGGGGACGTGGCCACCGGGGAGGGAGCCATCCGCTCAGGCTGAGCCTGGAGGCAGCCAGGATGTGTTTGGTGGGGGTGGTGGGACCCCTAAGACCTGATGGGAGGCAGAAGTAAGGAGAAAGGGTCACTCATTCTCACTTCCCGTTCCCCACCTCGGCCCTGCCCTCCGCTCCCCGGCTCCCTTCCTGGGGTGCTGGGGGCCTGCCCCCTGTCAGCTCCCTGGCAGGACACTGGGTGACAGGCGCCTGAGGCCCTGCCTTCCCCCAGAGGCACTCCCGGTCTGAGCGGCCTGGCTCTGCGAGTCTGAGGGGGGTGGGGGGGCCCAGGGCGGTCAGGCCGCAGAGCAGTGCTGGCCGGTGGCGGCCTCAGTGCTTCTCCCCTCTACCTCCCTGACATCACTTCCCTTCCCCTGGCTCGGAGGAGGCCGCACTTGCCAGATCCTCTGCGCGGCCCCTCCTAGCAGTTCCTGGAAGTCTTGGCTGCTGCCCCCTCCCAGGGGAGAGGCTAGGAGGGCTTGGAGGAGCTCTGGGGTGGGGTCTGGTCTATCCTGGAGAGGCATCTTGCTTGGTTAGGGGAGAGGGAGGGACTCTGAGGGACACCTCCCACCCGGCTAGGCCCTGGTTGCCCATCCCTACACCTGTTCCTCCTCCCCCAAACCCGTGGCCTGGCAGGGCCCAACTGAGCAGATGGGGAGGGGGGAGAAGGAAGAGAGACAGTGTCGGGGGGCCATCTGGGGAGCCTGAGTTGCTGGTGGATCCCTGGACCGCCGCCAGCTTTGACTGGGGAACCCAGGTCTCCCCCCTCCCCAGCCCCCCGAGTGTGTGTCTGTGGAGGGGGGTCCAGGCCCCGATTCCTTCTCTGTTCGGAGCACCAAGGAGGAGGAGCCTGTGAATAACTCAGACCAGTGGAAAGTCCAGAATCAGTGGTGGAGGTTCTGCTGCATGTGCGGGACTTGATTGCTCTGCCGGCGTCCTGGCCTTTGCTCCGATTGGCTGAGCCTGACACTAAATGCCACGGGGAGCCCCTGAGTACCAGGGCGTGGCGGGCGTGGCCCCGAGACAGGCCGTGAAGGCTGTCCTGGTGGGGAGAAGGGTGGTGGCGGGTGGAAATCTAGGGCAGCACCACCCCGGCCCCCCCCACCCCGGCAGCCCCAGTGTGTTTGTTTACACCCCATCTTCCTGGGGACAGATCGGCCTGTCGCCTTCCTGTATAGACCAAACGCACTCAGCCCCAGGGGACTTGGCGTAGAGCTTGGCTCTTCTCAGTCCCCACCAGCAGGGGCGAGGGCTCCACCCTGGGGAGCTCCACCCTTAGCTCAGGACTAAGGCTTTGGCTCAGCGGCTCTTGGGCCCCTTGAGTGCGGCTCTTCCACAAAAACACCACGGCCTGGGCGAGTCTAGGTCGAAGACGTGGTGTTGGAAGAAGTTTACGTACAAAAAGTTGGCTCTCTGGAAAGAAATTTCAGCCGTCGTCCTGTTGACATTTGGCTCTGTGGTCCCATGAGTTTGCCGACCACTGGGCTAACCCCCCGGGCCTGGCAGTGGGGACGGTAGGGCATGCCTTCCTCTGAGCACGGCCTCCGAGGGCAGAACTGAGTCCTGCCCTTCGTGAATGTCCAAGACGGCTTAGCTGAGGGGCCCCCTCCCCCAGGGACCCCCAGTCCGGATGGGAGACACACAGCCCTCCCCTTGGGGGGCTGGTCACCCGGCCCCAGGGAACCTCTTTCTTCCATGTAAGCTCTGCCCTTTCACTCTTGGTAGGGAGCAGGATCCCGAAACCCCAAACCACTCCTCGGCTCCCGGCTGTGGGACCCACCTTGTCGGTTAGGGGCGGTGCCCCCGGCCAAAAAGGAGACGAGGGAGCTTGCTTTGCCTTTCTCCCAATGCAAGGGTGGGTGGTGGGCCTGCTTGTGCAAGAAGGCTGTATGAGAGAGGGGCGCCCCTGCTTAAAATGGGGGAACGGGGGCGGGGGGGGGGCGGAGAGAAAGGGCAGGTTGAGCCAGGAGTTCCGCCTGCTGCCTTAGCAACAGTGGCGGAGCCACGCTGCCCCACGGCCTGGGCCCCTGCCATGGTGGAAGCCAGCCCGCCGGGCTCTGCACTCGCCTCTCCTGTGCCAGGCCCACGGCCGTCCCCTGCCAGGGTTCGGGTTTGGGATGGCAAGACGCTCCTTCCAGGCCTGCCGGAAGTGCCATGCTAATGGCCAGGCACAGGGCACCCTGATCTGGGCAGGGAGGAGCCTGCAATCTTAAGGCAACAGGGTCCAGGGAAGGGGACTGGGCTGTTGTGCTTGAGGCTGCGAGTGAGGCTGGCATCCACAAGGAGAAGAATTTGCCTGATGGGGCCTAGCTACCCGGGAGTGCCCTTAGCCTGTGCCCAGGGTCATGGGCACTCGGCTAGGCTGCATGGAGCGGTCAGGACAGCCCCAAGCAGGGGACTGTGGGTGCTGGGATCCTGCCTTCAGCTGGACCCCTCCCCGCCGGGCTGGTGTACAGAGCAGAAGTGGTGTCTCCATTCTGTGGGCCTGTCAGGAAGGTGCTGTCTCCTTGACCAGCTCCCTCCCTGGGATGGGCAGAGGAAGTATGGGGGGCACGTAGCTGTGGGGTGGCTCAGGCCCTGTGGGGCCCCCCCTCATCTCGGGGGTGTCTCACACAGGATCCCAGTAGAGCGGTGGCCAGGTGGTCAGATGCTGGGCTGGGCAGAGGCTGTGGGTTGACATTCCCAGCAGGCAGGGCGGGCACATGCTGACCCTGGCACCCAGGGATGCGGTGGGCATGATTCACAGTGACATCTGGGGCCAGCTGGCCAGGAGCGGGGTGAGACGGGCAGGAGCAGGTGGGCTGCTCTGAGGACCACCTCTGCGTCTTCCCCACAAACGCAGAGCCCGGGAAGGTGGTGTGGGCCTCCTGCCTCTGAGAGGGGCAGGGGTCACGCATGGGAACGGCGGAGTGGATTCCTGGGCTTTGGGGGCACGAAGCTCAGGCGTTGAATTCTGTCTTTGCCACGTTGTGACCTGGAGCAAGTTGCCTACCCCCTCTGAGCGTCCGTCTTCCTCACGTGTGGAAGGAGGAGAGTAAGGGTGCATGCCCACCTCCTAGGACTGTCGGAGGGATTAAATAGAGGTGAGGGACCCGCCCTGTGTGGCTCAGTGTTTGAGCATCGGCCCATGAACCGAGACGTCAGTCTCTCGTCAGGGCACGTGCCCGGGTTGTGGGCTTGATCCCCAGTGGAGGGGGGGGGGGGGCGCGCACAGGAGGCAGCTGCTTGATGATGTTTCTCTCACTGATGTTTCTATCTCTATCCGTCTCCCTTCCTCTCTCTCTAAAAATCAATTAAAAGCCAAAACTGGTTTGGCTCAGTGGATAGAGCGTCTGTCTGTGGACTGAAGGGTCCCAGGTTCGATTCCCGTCAAGGCATGTACCTTGGTTGCGGGCACATCCCCAGTCGGGGGGTGTGCAGGAGGCAGTTGATTGATGTTTCTCTCTCATCGATGTTTCTAGCTCTCTCTCCCTCTCCCTTCCTCTCTGTGAGAAATCAATAAAATATATTTAATAAAATAAAATGAAACTCAATTAAAAATACTAAAAAATAAATAGAGTTGAGGGGATTAAATAGAGGGCAGAAGCACAGTGCCTGACACCGGGCTAGCGCTCAGTAGACACTCTGCACTGTGAGGCAGGGGGCGAAGGTGGGGTCCGCCTGGTCCTCTCCATCTCGGAGCCCTTCTAGGTGAAAGAGCCACTTTGTGCCTCTCCGCTGCCCCCCACCCCATTACCAAGACCAACAAGGTTGCCGTCTTTTTTTTTTTTAAATTTTAATTGATTATGCTATCACATAATTGTCCTCACCCCCCCATCCCCATCCCGTCTTTTTTATTTTTATTTTTTATTTTATTGATTTTCCACAGAGAGGAAGGGAGAGGGAGAGAGAGTTAGAAACATGGATGAGAGAGAAACATCGACCAGCTGCCTCCTGCACACCTCCTACTGGGGATGTGCCCACAACCAAGGTACATGCCCTTGACCGGAATGGAACCTGGGACCCTTCAGTCCTCAGACCCACGCTCCATCCACTGAGCCAAACCGGTCAGGGCCAAGGTTGCCGTCTTGTGCCATCGCGGGCCAGGCCGCCCTCCCCGCCCTCATGCAGGTTGGCAACAGCCGGGCCTGTGCTGAACACTGCCTGGCGGCCGGAAACCACGAGAGGGAGGGCCCACCTCGCGCTAACGGTTAACTGTGTGCACATGTGGGAGGGGGAGGGGAGGCCTCCACTT